GTGGGGTGTTGATTCCATCAGTAACAGGAATGTGCAATGGAGCATCTTTGCTCTGGAATGTGTGACTCTGTAGGGAGGAAGAATGCACGTTAACCCCTCCCCTCGTTTGCATGTTGCATGTTGTGTGCCATGCGCTTCCATGATGGTGTATGCTCTGTTCTTTTTCCATGGGCAAGTCCACAGGTAAAACTGTTATATGGCTGTTCCCTTCCTCTTTTCTTTGCCTCTTTGCCTTTTGGCTGTGTGCAAGTGGGTCGATATGACACACGGGGGTGGGGGCAGCCGCCTCTCAACCTACATCCATGTGGGCGGCCTTGTACGCAAGAGGTTCTGAACAGGGGGAGTTGTAAGAAAGAAGATTAAAAATGAATTAAGTTTTTTTTGTTTCTGTTTTTCGTTTTGGCGCTCTGATATCATGCGACAATATATACTCCGACGGTGCTAGCTCTCTGATTTTGCAGATGATGCGGCGAGCGTCGGGCCTGTACTAGCAGGCTTTGCTTTTGTTATGGTAGAAAATAATTTTTACATTCGTTCTTGTCATTCCTCCTTTTCTTGTTTCTTTTCCTTTACTTTTTCCCCGTTGCTGGGGTATTTCGTTTTGAGGGCCTCCTGTATGGTTCCGTTTTTTGACTATGGATATGGTAGATTTGTGGTGGTATTTAAGAAAACATTAGAGAAAGGACAAGGGAAGGAAGGCGTATTAGTCAAACAAACTAAATGACACATCCCATTTTTTATGTAATTTTCCCCGTTGTTGGGGTATTTTGTTTTGTTGTGGTAATCTTGTCTGCATCCCAGTTGTTTGTTTTGTTGTGGTAATCTTGTCTGCATCCCAGTTGGTTTTGTCCCGTTATTCGGTCTATTTTGCAGCAGGTAGCGGTGCTTCATGTGGGACCTGTCATCCGTTTTTTTTTATATTGTCTTGGCATCCTGGTTGGTTGTTTCCCGTTGTTCGGCGTTTTGAGCGTGGGGCGGTGCTTGTATGTGGGAATCGTCATCCGGGATGGGTTATTTTTGGTACTTTTTTTTATTTCTTTGCAGACAAGAATGTTTTGACATCCTGGTTGGTCTTGTCCCGTCGTTTGGCCTGTGTAGGACTGGGGCGGTGCTTGCATGTGGGACTTGTCATCTGGGATCTGTTTTGTTGCCCTCTGTTCTGTTTTATTTGGCTGTTCCCTTCCTCTCTTCTTTGCCTCTTTGCCTTTTGCCTGTGTGCAAGTGGGTCCCCTCATTTGTTGTCCTCTTCTCCCTCTCTGCCTACGGTTTACCGGGCAGTTCTATTTGACGATATATACTACGACTTCGCTAGCT